CGCTGAGGCGGAAGGATCGCCGGAGCCCAGTGGGTCGAGACTGCGGTGGCCAGGAGTGGCCACTGCACTGCAGTCTGGGTGACAGAGTGAGACTCCAACTCAAAAATCAATCAATCAATAAATAAATAAATGGTGAAACTCATTTATTCATCCACTAAACTTAGACCCTCATCTGCTTTCAGAAAGGATTTAAGATACTTGAACTGTGAACAAAGAATCAGGGACTCTGGTTTACTCCTGTCCCTGTCGCTAACTAGTTGTGCGACCTCGGGCAGGTCACTTGATCTTCTTGTGTCTGTTTTCCATGAGAGACAGCCAGCACTTCCCATATATGCCAGGCATTGCTGTAGAGACGTTCCTATACCTGTATTAACTTATTTAATTATTCTCCAGTTTATTATGGTCTGTATCTTTCCAGAATTTTCAGGGAAATTTCTAGTACATCTTTGTAGTACAGGAAGGTGATTTTTTTTGTGACTTTTGACTTTTCAAAGAATCTTGGGTTTTTCTTGGAGCTCCAGAGACAGCAGTGCCCGACACCCCAGATTTGAACCTGGAGACAGTAACTGGGTTCCGTTGCTGATGGGGCCCTTGTCTTTATTTATTTATTTATTTATTTATTTATTTATTTATTTTTGAGTCAGTCTCACTGTCACCCAGGCTAGAGTGCAGTGGCATGCCCTGGCTACTACAGCCTTGACCCTCTAGACTCGGGCTTTCTTTCCACCTCAGCCTTCCAAGTAGCTGGAACTGCAGGCATATGCCATCACACCCAGCTAATTTTTGATTTATTGTAGAGATGAGGTCTCGCCAAGTTGCCCAGGCTGGTCTTGAACCCCTGAGCTCAGGCACTCCTCTCACCTCTGCCTTCCAAAGTGCTGGGATTACGGGCGTCAGCCACTGCGCCTGGCTGGGACTTGGCTTTGAGCTTAACTTTCACCCCACCCATGCTGGAGAAAGAGGGCAGTGTCTCAGCAGGGGACCACAGCTGGACAGGGCGCGCGGGGTGGGGGTGGGGGAATGTCCCACACATGGGAAATGGGGGTAGAGGGACGCTGAAGTTTGTCTGCCCTTTGGAAAGTCTCCTTGGTGGCCTGGTTCCAGGCCATGATACTTTCCTGCTTGGAGGGCGTTAGGGATACCAGCCCTCTGCACCCGGAATTCCTCCCAGCCTCTGCGTGCCAAGGTCCGGCGTGACTTCCGGTGGTTTATTTGTCATCTTGGGAAACCCCCTTCCTGGGGGGTCCAGGGCGGCCTGCAGGGGGTCTGACTCACCACCCGGCTGAGTCAGGGGGTCCCAGCTGCCATAGGGTGTCTTCTGCTGCACCACGCCCCTCCGAGGCGAGCTCCCCAGGCCGGGGGCAGCGGGAGGGGGGGAAGGGGGCGGGGTGCGGGGTGCGGGGCGGAGCCCTGGGGGCCCCACCCAGTGGCCGGAGCTCCTCCTCCTCCACGGACTGCCTCGTGCACAGCCCGCATTGGGTGGTGAGTGCCGCCTGGTTCCCGTGTGTGAGCGCGAGTGTCTCTGGTCTCTGTGCCTGAGTGTGTGTCTGGATTTGTGTGCAGGCGTCCTTTTGAGTGCCTGTCTAGGGACGACGTGAGGGATGGGGCACCAGGACCCGTGGCCGCGCTGCCGGTGCTGGAGGAGGCGGAGGCCACCGAGGGCGGGGAGAAGTGTCTGAGCTGGATCGCGACCCTGGCCGGGAACCTCCCAGGTCTCGGCCTTGGTACCCTCATCCTGGCTCGCTGGAGATTCTCGGGGATTTCTGGCCAGTGGGCTCCTTTCCCTCTTGGCAAGCACGAGGGAGGCTTCTGGGTCCTGCCCGGGGCGTCTCACCTGGAGCAGTGGGACCTCCAAGGAGCGTTCCCTCACCCCGCGGGACTCGTTCGGAGCGACTCCGATCCTCACACCCCCACGCCCCGCGCTCCACTTTGGCAAAGGTTTACGTCTAGGACTGTGCGCCCGAAGGAATATTCGAAGGAGACGTGGGCTCTTGCAGAGCAAGGAGTGTGTGCGTTTGGCACCAAACCGAACTGGTTCCAATGCTGCCGCCAAGAGGCCGAGCAGACGGTGTGTGTGTGTGTGTGTGTGTACGCACCGCGCGCGGTTAAGAGTCCTGGCCTTCTGAGCTTCGGTTTCCTCACCATCCAGAGAGAACAATACCCACCTTACAGCGTAGATGCTGGATAAAACCTGGAGCACCCGTGTAAACTGCAGGACAGGGTGTACCCCACATTATTACTGCACGAAGGACCTGCCAAGCAGCGTGCACACCGCTCCACGTACTGAATAGATGCACCAGGAAAGTCCTGGGTACACCCACTTGTTTTCAAAGTACAACATGTAAGGGAACCCCCGATGGAAAGGCCCACTGGCCGGGAACAGCCAGCAAGCTGGATTCGAGCCCGAGTCCGGGCTGGTCAATTACCTGGGTGACCCCCCCCCCCCGACTCCGGGTCTCAGACTCAGGTCTGGTCCCCGGGCCTTTCTGGGGATGCCGTGAGTACTGGGGAGGGGAGAGCAGTTTGGCGGGGGACCAGCCCTCACTCGCTTTGCAAATGCCACTTTGCAAAAGGTGCTTTCTATCCATTGGCTATAAGTCCGGGTCCCGGGGCCGCTCCGGGGCTCGGGGCGCGAACCCCGAGGGCCCTACGCGGCGGCGCCCCCGGCCTCCCGGCGAGAGCAAAGCGGGCCGGGGAGGAATTGCCG